AAAAAAAAAAAAAAAAAAAAAAAAAAAAAACCTTGATGTTGATGAGCAGTAGAGACGACGGCTGACTCCTCCCTAGTGCCGCAATTGCCCATCTTCTCCGCTGAACAGAAGAGAACCTACGGAGTTCCGTCTCATTCTTCGTCGCCCGCCAGCCTTTCCCTACTCCTCCCTCTTGTGCTCAACTTTCCATTAATTATTGTTTCTCTTTTCTTTTCGAAAGATACTGTGAATAAAATAATATTACTGCTAAATTGCATTCACTGTCATGTGACCGTGAAACAATTGCCATTTTACAAATTACACCATACAAACTAAAACCAACGACCTTGTTTGCTAATTAGAGTTCTTGGCCGAGGATGAATTTGAAGTTTGACTCATCATTATTTTTAAAAAATATATTGTTCGGTAAGTAATATTAAAAAGTTCAATAGAAAGAGCTTTTTTTTTTATTTTTTTTGGTACAAAGAAGAAGACAAAGCCTAAGACGTCACTCACCTAGAGTGGGCCACCCCTACCAAATCATGCATCAACCAAACTCCCGCCCCGGGCGGGGGGGAATCCAAGCGTTGAATGTCATTTTAGTTTTATCAACTACTACCTCCTATTTTGAATATATGTCGTTTTGAGAAGTTACACACTAATTAAGAATATTTTTTTTGTCATGTTGATATCATTTTCAGTAAGCCAGATTAAGTGACGTTAATCCGCCGATTGGGGTCAGCATGAAGATAATTAAAATTTATACAAGTACGTGGCACTCCTACCGGCTTCAAGACGACTGCACGATGAAGGATTCAACAAGAAACGACATCTCCATTATTTAACCGATATCTCATGTCGGTCAACACATGTCGGTCACCACATGTCGGATACAACATATCGGTTATAACTGGATGAACCGATATCTATAACATGCCACCTCAACATTGTAAAGCGGCGACAACTCAGCATAAGTCATCATTACGTTTGTCCAAGTGGCGAGCCATCAAGAGAAGTAGCTAAGAGCCGCCTTTGACCTTTCAAATGTAATAATTACTGTACGGATAAATATGGTACATAAATATAAAAGGAGAAAAACAATTCTCCAGCAAGGAACACACGTACAATAATAATATTCACAGAAAAAATTCATCTCCTTTTACAATATGCAAGTTCTTATCATTGAATATTGAGTTTTACTTCTAATGTACTTCAATTAGACCGTTGTTAATTCCCGTTTGACAACATGTCAATAATACCGTATTTAATGAAGATATAGATGAATGTTTTGAGAAAAAAGTGAAGAGTGAATATAAAAAGACGTAATGTATTTATTGGCTAAATGAGGGTAATAATGGAAAAATATGGACAAAAGATCTAAAACGACATTTATTTGACAAATAGTTGAAAATGCTAGAATGACATTTAAAAAAAAAATAGGAGGGAGTATTAACCAAATAAATGACGTTTTGGATCGTTTGTACATATTTTTCCATTAATACCATCATTTAACTAATAAATACATCACGTCTTTTCATAATCACTCTTCATCTTTTTCTCAAAACATTCATCTTTATCTTTATTAAATAAGATTATTATTGACAAAAAAAATATTCTTAATAAATGTGCAACATCCCAAAACGACATCTATTTAAAATAGGAGGTAGTATAATTTTTGGCAAATGTAGTGTTGATAAAAGGATTTGATCAACTTTTTTATCTTTATATTTTTTAGATTAATAGCGTAATGAGACGATTTTATTGAATAACTGGGAATTATCTAGGAAAATATCAAGTCGGTATTTCGCGGACTTGAGGTCGGTTTTTCTTGTACAATGATGCTGAAATTGGCGATAGCCGAGGTGATTAATGCAGAATTTATGTGTCGGGAAAAAAGATCCTCGTATTGCCTTTATTGCTGCTATTTATAGTAACTGGGGGCTCATCTTTTGAGGAGATTCGGCGGCATTTAATGAGGAATGACATCTGCGCAGCTTTTTCTGTCGGTGGGACCCCCTCGCGCAATGATGTCTCCACATGGGCTCTGAACAGTCGATGGTACTTGCATTAAATGCTGCCTGTCTGCTCCGACGTCGGCCTGCGCCCGAGGTTGCTTCGTTCAGGAGGTCGGCTTCCAGACAAGGTCGGCTTCCTAATGAGGTCGGCCCCCCACAGGTCGGGCAACGTTTTCTCGGCACTTTTCGGCTTGCCCCCTTTACTTTCTTGTCGTCCACGTGTCGGCCATCCAGCGCTTGAGCAGATTTTTAGGTCAACATGTAGTTTGTACTTGGTGAGCACGTAAACTTGTTAGGAAAAAGTCTTAACTAAAT